TACAATTATAATGAAAGAGTGTCTTGGGTCACGAAGACACTATATCTAAAAGTTAAATCGTGGAAGGAACATTGAGATTTCATCTCAAGAGGTTTGATTAAATCTCTAGTGACTCAATCGGTCCTGGATGTACCTGTACAAATTCCGCACAATTTTTTTCTATCAGGTCAGGATGTGGATGAGGGTGAAGAGGTGTTAGTCTCAGTTATTCTCAGGAAAATCAAAGAATCAAGGAAATCATCAGAACAGAAGTCAAGAACTACAATAAGTGCCTGCATAATACGCAAAAAGTTCTTATTACTTTGATGTTTTGGAATAAAATAGTTTAAATAAATTGAGAGATGTTGCTTTAAATCACGCTTTGTTAAAAACAAAACTCCTATATACTTGTGTTAATGTTATATTTGTTAATATTGGGCCAACAAGTATAAACAATAGATATCAAATAGTATAAACAATAGATATCAAATGCCCAAATGTAATTGGGCAAGTTAATTTATTTAGACTTCAGTTTCTTCATCTGGAAAAGAGGGGTATAGGAAGAATTAGATGACCCATAAAGTCTCTACAGGCTCTCAGTGCTAATGTTCTGTGTGTCTAAAGAATGAAATGTACAAAAGGCATGTAGAATAGCTTTACCCAAGGACAGCTTATCCACCAGGGTGATGAATGACCTGGACACCGTGGTTGTTTGTAACAATAATAAGCAGGAACAGAGGAAGTCCAGAAATGAAATGAGAGTTCCAAAAACTCTGAGGGATAGAGACATCATGTGAGAAAAATCTCAAAAGATCATTGGTATTTTGTCTGGAAAGATAAGAGCTAATAATTGAACACTGAAATAACTGGAAGATGTGAGGATGGTGTACCAAGGCTTAACCACTAAATTATAATGAAATATATAAAGGCATAGATGGAGAGGAGGAAGGTAGGAAAGAAGGGGGGAGGAGAGAGATGGAGAAAGTTGAAGATATTTATTAATTTAGGAAAAGAGTAGGCTCATGATAACTCTCAGATAGAAAATAAGAGAGTAGTGGTTAACTCATAGATGAGTTTCCTGGGGCATGCCCCTTGATGGGGAATCAAACGGGCAACTTCCTGGTGCATGGGACAATGTTCAACCAACTGCTCCACACTGGCTGGACGATACTGCTTATTTTTTAGACATAAAACAGAAGAGAAAACAATGCTTCAGATATATAAATAATTAAATTACAAATGCTTGATTTTCTATTTTATTCCAAGAAATTTCCCAAGGAACATATTCAGAAATTACCCATCTAGAAATCTATTCTAAGGAGACATTCAGAGATGCAATGAAGGATGCAGTATAAGGCTCTTCACTGCAGTGTTATTTATATCAACAGGAAATTTGAAAGTAGTCTAAATGACCCATAATAGGGTAATGGTAAACTAAAGTATGATATAAAGTATGTATGCATAAAACTATGGTTATTTCTGGAAGATTATGCTATGGATGGCTTGAAGTTTTTTCTTCATATTTTTATACCAAAAATTATATAATGGCCATTTTTATTTTTTAAATCAGAAATATATCTTAATATATATTAATAAGGAAATGTATTTATTATAATTAAATTTATATAACTGAACTGCATAGGACACAAAACTGCATAAACACATATTTACATATCCACCTCTGGAGTAAATTTATACAGAATTTTGATAGTGGAGTGGCAGAAACAGCAAACTTTATTTTAAAACAAATTTATTGATATTTAATTAACCTGAAAAAAATTTGGTGGCTTAATGGTTCATTCCTTTTCTCTACTATCAGGTGCACATTCTCAGGAACCAAGAATTCCTTCCCTGAAGAAGAAAGAGATTGAAGATTTGCTAAGTCTGTACATACGTAGGAGAAGGTCTAAATTAATTAGAAAAGCAAGCAGTGACCTTCAAATGAAGAGAAAATAAATCTAACTTCAGAGCTAACTCAAGTCTTGGAATTTAAAAATATATATATTTTTTTTTCTTGACTATTGATCATGTATTCACTCGAAATGTCCAGAGATAAATATTAAGCCACAGAGTACTTAGTTTCATTCCTTTAGGCTGCTAGCATGTTCCTTCAAATGATGACCTTTCTGCTAGCATGTTCCTTTCAAATGTGATGATCTGAAAGACTTAAAAGAGCTTTCAAGGATGAGTAGAGGTTCAAGAATAATCAGATTCTTTGTATTCACTTTGAGCATTTGTTTTGGGATGCATGACATTGTTAATGAACTAGAGTGCCATAATATGTTGCATGACTTCCAAGCCATTAACCACTGGATTGCTTATGTTCAGGCATGTTAATTAGAAGTTATTGATGACCTGTGATACCCGAAGCTTCTTTGAAATAATATTTTTGAATATTTTAACTAAATGATGCAAAAACAAAAAAAACACCTGATGAATAAAGAATTCTTCTAATGGAAACAACATTAATAAAAGCTCTGGACCAAAGTCAATATTATTGAAGTCTCTTTATTTCAATATTTAATGTTATCTAATGATAATCAAATCACAAATAAAATGAGCATTAAGTTTGTTATTTCTAAATAAGCATATTTTTTGTCTGATTAACTATGACAACTTCATAATTGATTAGACTTTGCATTGAAAAGCAAGCTAAAAGTAAAATGAACAGCTTTATAAGAAAATTACCTGTAAGCATTTTCCCACCTTAAAATAAGCAGGCCTGAATGAGGTTCATAGCAGAGAAGTCCAATTAGCAAGCTTATTTGAGTTCTAGACACATTGCTCTTAAAAATATGTATATTATTGAGTTTTTTAGAGAGGAAGAGAGAGGGATAGAGTTAGAAACATCAATCAGCTGCCTCCTGTACACCCCCTACTGGGGATATGCCTGCAACCAAGGTACAAGTCCTTGACCGGAATTGAGCCTGGGACCTTTCACTCCACAGGCCGATGCTCTATCCACTGAGCCAAACCGGTTCTGGCTGCTCTTTTTATATCATATAATTATTCTATTTTCCCAATCATTCTATGATAACCGATGACTGAGAACCAGTTTGAACTTCAGCTACGTTAGCCATTTACTTGCTTTCTCCAGGTCCAAAGGAAACCTCAGTAAATGTTTTAACGAAGGTTTAGGCTGGGCCCCCCCTAAGCTAAAACTCTAAATGTTATTATTAGAAGCACCTGAGGCTTAGCCAAGCCCTTCAATTGGGGAAGCAGGTCTCAGGGAGGGGAAGGAGGGGCCCAGCCAGGCTTCTCTTGTTTAGAACAAGCACGTCAGAGGCTGCCACGCTTCAGCTGCCATTTCTACATGGGTGCATGGTTTTGCTTTCATGCCACTTTCTCTAGTGTCTTTAACCACATTCTTTAAAAATATCATACAAACTCGTTACCTCTTATAAATTGTTAAAATGATGCTACTCTTGTGATGCTTATAATACCTGCCCCTCACTCCTATCTCACCATGGTCTACACAACACCCGCTGCCCAAGTTTTCCTAGAGGGTCAGACAGTACATATTCTATGCTTTGAGGGCCATCCAGTCTCTGTTGCAACTCATCAGTTTTGCCTTTGTAGAATGAAAGTGCCTGTGAACAAGACCTAAATAAATGAGAATGCCTGTGTTCCAATGAAACTTTTGTTTATGGACCCTGAAATTGGATTATCAAGTGTCACAAAATAATTATTCTTCATGATTTTTTCCCCATTATTTAAAAAGAAAATGTCCTAACCACTCTTGGATCATAGCGTGTGCAAAATCAGCAGCGGCTAAGCTGTGCCCTTGGCTGTAGCTTGCTGCCTGGCATGCTTACAAAACATGCAAAAAAAACAAGCTGGGATGAAGGAAGAAGGAGGCGCTATATTGAGCAACAAAACTAAAATAAAAAGTTTGTGATAAGCTGAAAAGCAAATATTCAGATGAGATTGAACAGGGATAACTTAGTCCTAATCCTACTCAATTGGACATTGCTTCACTCTGGAAACAGTACTAAAAATTATAGGTATATAAATAAAAGTTCAAGCCTCTCTAAATGTAACATGGACTATTCATTAAGGTAATTGGTAAAGCAATGAAATTATAACAATATTTATTGAGAGAAAGTACAGAGCAGTGGGTTAGAGGATAAGCTTAGGGACTGGATTTGAATCTCAACTTTGGACAAGTTCCTGACCCTCTTTGTGCCTCAGTTTTCTTATAAAATATCCAGTTGCTAGGTTTGTTGTGATCATTACATGAGTTAGTGCATACAAGGTACTTAGAAACAAAGTGCTGTAATAGTAAAAAGTATTAGCTATTACTTTGGACATCATTAAATTAAGCATCTACATCCTCATTATACATACAGAGAAAGGAGGCACATAGGTACTTTGGCCAACCTCATTGGAATGGGATCTTACAGAGAAATAGTCATGTTTTAAAAATAAATGTGAGATCATTGTTGACTTATATACAGTTGTCATAAATAATACAGAGATATCCTATAGACAGTGCATCCAGTTTCCCCTCAGTGAAAACATCTTGCATAACGATAGCATAATAATACAGCCAGGAAATTGGTACAAACAGTTTATTCAGATTTCACCAGTTCTCAGTGCACTCAATTATATGTGAGTGTATTTAGGGTTTTTTTGGTGTGAGCTTATTTTCCAGCAAGAGCAACCAGATAGAAAATTAGCTCATCAATTCAGTAATTTAAATGTTGTTAAAGAAGGTAGTTACACAACTTCATTTAGATCACAGACTTGAATATTACTTCCGACAATTTTAAAGTAAGAATGGCCCTCTACTGGAAACTCAGCACATCCGGATTGGATTCAGCTTCTTTCCATTTCCCTCAACCATCCCTCACTCCCAAAGGCGTTAACCTTAAGAACTAAGACACATGAGTAAGAAAAAACTTTCTTCATGCTTCACCCCAGACTATTGAGAGAGAGGGTGGAGGCTTAATTCTTTCCATACAGATTTTGAAAATACTTTTCTTCTTTATCCCAAGGGACCTTTGAGACTGGACTCCTTTTCACTTCCAGTTGGGCAAGGTGATTTGATCAACAAGGGCAGAGAAGGCCCTGCTCACCTGCTCAGCTCCACGATACAGGTCCGTGTTTATGGAAGACTGAGGATCTGAAATCAATAAACAAGAGAGTCCTTCAGAGAAGGTACCTGTAGGTTCTCAAGCTGATATTTATAAAGCTCCAGGACAGGGAAGAATCAGAATCCACCTCTCCTCAGTTCCTGATGACAATGCACTCTCTCTAAAGTAGCTGGCAAATGAGGTAACTATTATTTACCAGGATCAATGACCCATCCAACCAGATTGTGGGTTCTCAAAAGGCATTTCCCGTGACTCCAAGCACAGATCTGTGTAGTCAGAAAGCTCACTCATTCAGGTATACAATCAGAATCACCTGGGAAGGGTCAGAAAAGACTGCTAGTTCCTACCCAGAATTCTGACTCAGTATATACGATGGTTAATTTTATGTGTCAACTTGATTGCACTAAGAAGCCCAGATGTTTGGTTAAACACCATTCTGGGTGTGTCTGTGAGGGTGTTTCTCAATGAGGTGAACATTGAATAAGTAGACCAGATAAAGCAGACTGCCCTCCCAATGTGGCTGGATGGCATCCAATCAATTGAAGGCCTGAAGAGAAAAAAATCTGAGTAAGGGAATATCTTCTGCCTGCCTTCCAGCTGGAATGTCAGTTTTCTTCTGCCTTTGGACTCAAAAAGAAACATCAGCTCTTCCTAGGTCTTAAGTCTACCAGCTTTCGCACTGGAACTACTATTTGGCTCTGCTGGCTTTGAGGTTGCTGACTATAGATGTTGGACTTGTCAACCTTCATAATCCCTTAGCCAATTCTTTAAAGTACATTTCTCTCTCTCTCTCTCTCTCTCTCTCTCTCTCTCTCTCTCTCTCTCTCTCTCTCTCTCTCTCTCTCTCTTTCTCTTTCTCTCTCTCTCTCTGAAATATTGTGCCACATTAAAAAAAAAATGACATTGCTCAATGTCTAAGATATATTGTCAAGTGAAAAAAAGCAAAGATACATATGGGTTTTCCCCCAAAACGTACACACACATTTGGAATAATTATAAAGGCAGTGTTTATTAAAATACATTTCATTTTCAAAATTGAGCCAACAGCTATTAAAACATGTATACATTTTTGGGGGATACCCTGTATAGGAAGAAAAAAAGGATGAAGGAAAAACTCCCTAAACTGTTAGCGCTAGTTACCTCTGTCTGCAAAACAGATAGCAAAGAACGGAGGGCGTGATGATGAATTAATTTCTTTAAAAAGTCTTTGCTTAGGCATTTTAATTTTACGATGAACATGTCCTATAATATTGTTTGTGTAATTAATTAAAAAAAAGATCACAGGCAATGAAAACATGGAAAGGCTGGTTTTGTTAGTTACACACTTGAGATAATGTTTTCTGTTGAACATCAGAGGAGAGGTTGTATGCCTTATTTACTCTATCATTTCCTAACATTGCTCCAGAAGGATAAGGACTTTGAATAAACAGTATTTTATTGCCTGAATAAAAAACCTTGTCCAGAGGCAAACTTATTGTTTGATATATTCTGTTTCTCAGCCCACAGTGATAAATATTTAAGACATAGCAATAAAGAAACAGGGAAGCAATAATCCATTTTATGCATGGAAGTTTTTTCTCATTGTTTGGTGTTTTCTTTTTAAGTTCCAGTCTCTTGAAATGTTAACAATAGCCAGAGATGTGCACCTAGCATATGGTTTGGCATACATTTGGAATTCAGTATGTATAGGGACTGAATTTCTATAGCATATAATGCAAATGTTAGACATATCTGTGAAATCAATAGTCCAGAAGACATCAAAATGAGAAAATAATTTTACTTAAATGTTAGTAAAAATATATCTGGTCTCTGAACGAATCAAGGGTGAAGGAGAGGGCTATCAGATGGACAGCTATGGAAGTTTAAAAGTATAAGGTTAGTGAGTCTATGATTACCTTTCTGGGCAACTGAAATACTGAGTCCATGTCTTCCTTTCAACAATAATTAATTGAGCAAACCAATAGAAACGAATATCTACTGTACTCAGGCCTCTCCCTTGAGCTCCAGATGGTACATGTTGATGGCCATTCTGATGCATCCATTTTCATGGCTCTCAGGCAATGCACACTTAATGTGCTCAGAACAGAACTCTTGATTTGCCCAACTCCATTTCAATGTGCCCAGCTTCCCTCATGGCAATAGTGTATCACCATCCACCAGGCCAAGCCACCTTTACATCTTGCTTAGACTGCAACAGGCTATTACCTGGTCTCTTTGCTCACCCTTTTGCCCTTCTGCCAGCCACATTCCACACAATGCCAGAGTATTTCAAAAACACTATCTCAAAATAGATAGATACATCAAGCCTCAAGCAAAGCACGTGGCACATAGTAAATGCTGAATGACCATTAGTTAAATGAATGAATGAGTGAATGCATGAATGCATGCATGCATGATTTCCAGGCAACATTTGAGAAGACTGCCTTCTAAATAAGTGAGACAAATGAAGAGTCCAATGTCTATTGCTGGGTTGCTAACATTCTGTTCTTTATTTTATTACAATTTGCTAAAGTTCAAGCTTCATTTTATGATTATTTAAAATAAGAATTTAGATGTTGGTTCCAGAGGAGAAGAAAAGAACAGGAATAGACATCCAGCATTTCCACCCTAATGCCATCCGTCTACTCCTTTGCCTTCTCATCCTTTAAACCTATAGTGGCAAATAGATGGCAAAAAGGGATGGGAGAGGAGCTGGAAAAAGGATTCTAGATATACACAGTATATTTTACTCAAATCAGAAAGAAAATAATTTAATGAGAAAGTAAGACTAGAGTATTATGTCCTTTTCTTTTCTTTTTTTTTCTCTCTCTCTCTTTTTTTATTTTTTATTTTTATCACCACTAATGCAAGTCCTGTTAGATGTTATTTCAAATCTAATCCCTTTAGTGAAAGTCTGAACAAACTGCTACTGGTTTTTCAATTGAACATTTGAAATTTCTAGAGGCTTGAGAATCCCTCTCTATACTTTCTCTTTTCTATTTAACTTCCATAGGCTTTTAAAATCCTGTTATCCTAAGTATTGAGACTGAATGACTATTCAGTTAATGTCAATAATCACCCCCAAACTGACCATCAGGCTTGCTATTTTAATCTTATTAAGCCTTAAGTGATATAAAGGTCATTTTAATTTCCAAAATGTGTTGACTCCTTAGTAAAGCTCCAATCCAATAGGTTGATCACTAGGATAATCACAATGCTGGGTGGATATGTTAATGCTGTGTGAGTAATCTTAGCATATTACAAATAGTACCTCTTTCTAATCTTTGTAACAATCCTCAATTTAAAACACACACACACACACACACACACACACACACACACACAAGTGGGACAGTAAAATTATCAGAAACTTCCTGCTATGATCTGATTCATTCATGACAGAGACAAAAATAAAACAAAAGTAACCAATACCTTAATTTAATTTCTTTACCTTTTCACACATCTTCATCAGGATGGTTATCATGCTTCTGTCTCTGATTAAGTTTGAGGTAATTCTAGTGAGCATCCATACATTACATTCCACATTAATTATGGAATGCAATTTTTAATTTTATTTATTTTAATCCTGACCTGAAGATATGTTTTTACTGATTTTAGAGAGAGAGGAAGGAAGAGAGAGACACACACACATCAGTGTGAGAGAGAAACAACAATTGGTTGCCTCCTCTATACACCTAGACCAGGGATCGAACGCACAACCTTTTGGGTATATGGAACAATGCTCGGACCAACTGAGCCACTTGACCTCTAATTACCAACGGCTAAGTAGAACTTACAAACAGGATCATATTCAATACCAGACTAAATAAGAACATAAAATGTAGGAAATATTTAAGTGAGGGATGGCAGTGTTTAATAATTGCAAATAGTAACCATGAAGGTTAATAGAGATCTGATGCCTAAAAGCCTCAAAGAAATAAGACTAATATAAAATAAACTAGAGGCCTGGGGCACTGATACATGCACCAGTGGGGTCCTTCAGCCTGGCCTGTACCCTCTCACAATCTTGGACCCCTTGGGGGATGTCAGACCACCAGGCCAAAACTGGCAATCCGACATCCCTGAGGGATGTAGTAGTGTGCTAAGCGACAGACAGCCGAGGAAGAACCTGAGCCAAGGCTGGATGCCTTGCTGCTCCCACTCATCCTGGCCCTGCTGCACCGGCCACTGCCTCTGCTTGGTAAGCTCACTGAGTGGTGCTCCCACTGTGGGAGCACAATGACCATCAGGGAACATCTCCTGCGTTGAGTGCCTGCCCCCTGGTAGTCAGTGTGTGTCATAGCAACCAGTCAACTGGTTGTTCAGCCGCTTAGGCTTTTATATATGTAGATTACACTATAAGTTAAAATCTGATCATTAGTATTTGCTGAATAATCATGAAGTATGTAGCACCCTAATAACAAAAAGGGAAAATGTGCATCCCTTTAATATAATAATGCATAATTTCTGCATAAGTATTTCAGTGTTTCTATTTTGGTTGTAAATGCAAGTAACGGAAAAATTTTCAGACATATATTTTTATATTTTCTACATTATTTAACATTGCTAATTACATCTTTATTCATTATTACATCACCTGAATTGAGAAGTAAACTTTACTTTTTCATGATTTTCCTCTAATGGTTGATTTTGAAAGATCTTAATAAAGTCATTTAAAATATGCATGTCTTGCCTTAGCCTGTTTGGCTCAGTGGATAGAGTGTCAGCGCCAAAACTGAAGGGTCCCAGGTTTGATTTCAGTCAAGATAAGGGCACCATACCCTGGTTGCAGGTTTCCCAGCCCTGGCCAGGATATGTGCAAGAGGCAACCAATCAATAAGTCTTTCTCACATTCGAGTGTCTCTCTGCTCTCCCTCTCTCTTCCACTCTCTAAAAATCAATTGAAAAGTATCCTTGGGTTAGGATTAACAACAACAAGAAAGACACCGTAATGCTTTTATCTGTATGTATCAACCTGAACACAGTGTGGGATGTTGTCTTCCAAATATATATAGATCTAGTCTATGAGGAATCTGAACTGTGCAAAATAGCCGGCTTACATTTGTTATGGCTGACCCAACACAACATTTTAGAAATAAGAAAAGGTCAAGAGGATGTTGACTTTGCTTTGAATATTTATCATGACCCCAGTGATGTTTAGATGGAAATACAGTGGGTGGAATCTTGTGTCAGCCTAAGAATCAAGCACAAGGAGTTCCTATGCCATCCTTGTCTCAGACAGTCTGGGCATACTTCTGGCATCTTTGTGATGCTGTTCCTTTGATACAACAATAATAACTCTCATTCCCTTCACAGCAGAGAATTTGGACTTGCCAAATAATTACTTAATGGACTTGGCTCTACCAAGTTCAATATCCAACTGACACTATGTATTCATTTTACAGTCTACTACCTGTAATGGTCTAAGTTGAAATTTAGAAATTCAGAAATTGAAGCCCTAGGCCCCAGTATCTCAGAATGTGACTATATTTGGAGGTAGAGTCTTTAAAGAGTTAATTACATTAAAATGAAGCTTTAAGGGTTGGTCCTAAACCACTATGTAGTGTCCTTATGAGAAGAGGAAATTTGGATAGAGGCATGGGCAGAGGGAAAAATGGTGTGAAAACAAAGTGAGAAGACAGCCATCTACAAGCGAAGGAGAGAGGCCTTAGAAAATATAAATGATGTTGACACCTCAATCTCAGACTTGCAGCCTCCAAGGTCCCTAAGAAAAAAAGTGTGTGTGTGTGTGTGTGTGTGTGTGTGTGTGTGTGTGTGTGTGTGTGTAATGTATCTATCTACTTATCATTTTATTATTACCATTTTTTTGTGTGTGTGCGTAAGTCAACCAGTCTGTGGTACTTTGTTATGATAGCTCTAGCAAACTAACATATCAACTCAGAAATATTTTGAGAAGATCTCCTGTGATGCAAAAACACATGAGGAAGTTATCCTTTGTTTTATCACGAGTCTCTAGAACCAGATGTCTAGATGAATTGTATTCCAACATAAAAGATCTTAGGTTTTCTTAAAAAGAAATAGATATAGATATCAATATCAATATGCTAGGATAACAAAATGCTCTATAAAAAAGACATCATGCCAAAACAGAATAAATAACTACAAGAAAAAAGGATTGGAAAAAAGAGCCTTTAAAATTTAGTCATAGTTTATGAAGAATATGATGAATATAATGATGATACCACTTATAACATAGAAACCTTAACCAATTATCCTCTAGAAATAGAGCATAATTTTTACCTATTTTTAAATGGTAACATCAGGCTGACCAGTTATATGTGTTAATACTACTGATAATAGTAATTGCAATAAGAAAGTAATGAACATTTGCTGAATTCTTGGTATGTGCCAAGTGTTAGACTAAAATCTCAGATGGTTTATCACATTTCATGCTCACAACAACTAGAATGAATTAGGCAGGACTAGAAATCATGTTTAGAGATGCTACTGATGTGCAAAAGATTCACTACTCTGACTGGTGATGAATTGTACTTTCTAGATGAATTATAGCTGTTGGACTAATGTTATAAAATCAAGTTTTTTTAAATTTCTTTATTGATTAAGGTATTACATATGTGTCCTTATTCCCCCATTACCCCTTACCCACCCACCCCCATTTATGCCCTTACCATCCTATTGTTTGTGTCCATTGATTAGGTTTATATGCATGCATGCAAGTCCTTTGGTTAATCTCTTCCCCTTACCCCCACCGTCCCTTTCCTTCCCTCAGGTTTGACATTCTGACTGATGTTTCTCTGTAAATCAAGTGTTTTTAAAAGGCCGCTTAAAAGACCATCACTATCTCTATTGGTTGTGAAAATCTTACCTGCTGGCATTTCTAGAGTGAAGGCATCCATAAGTTTTGATAGCAGTTCTTGCAGTTCCTCTTCCTCCAGCTCATCCTTTTCCTCCTGGATATTAACTGTCTCTTTCCTTTCCATGGTGTCCAGAGCAGGACTGTTGATTTCTGTAGGAGCAATCTGGGGAGTTTCTTGTAGCAGTTCTTCCTGGGGACTGGTTGGGGAGCTAAAGATTTCCTCTGAGGTCTTTTGTGCTTGGCTTTGTGCCCTGGTGCTTTGCGTTGACCTTGGCTGCAAAACTGCCTCTGGTGATTCTGAATTTGGTAGAGCATGCTCTACTTTTGCTTGACTTTGTTGACTTTTGTCCATCACAGTGGGGTTAAGAAGAGGTTCCCATTCCGGACCATCCACACTGGCATCCCTGTTCTGGGAAGAACCTTCTTTCTTCCAAAACATTTTACCCTTTTCATGGTCACCCTTGGAAATCATATTTTGATAGGAAGATGGATGGAGTGGCTGAAACTTTGCCTGGAGAAAAAATGGCTTTATTTATGAAGAAATTAACACTCACCTTGCTTTTTTAATACATGCATTTTATTTTAATATTCCAAAAGGAAATTGCAATGTGCCATTTTTTCTGCTCTCTTAATACATTAATCTTAATGTATGCTGTTAATTCAATATCAACCTAAAATAAAACAGCTCAGATATTAAAATATCACAGGGAATAATCAGAATGAATTTGAAAAATTTTAGGTTCTAGACACTCAGATCCTAAGATTGAAAGGAATTTTTGAAAACATCAGCCTATATTAAATTGATAGATTAAAAATGGAGTATAAAATAGATATGTTTTCATATTCAATATCCTTTAAGAAACAATTTCTTATGTTTTAGTGTAGTATCAAAGAAAATCTTCAATTACTTGAAAAATCTATGAAAATATTCTTTTCAACTGCAAATTGTCTGAGGCCACACTTGTTAATAACTAGAGGCCTGGTGCACAGATTTGTGCACAATGAAAGGAAATTAGTTAGAAGTGGTGGTGGGATGGGACTGGGGGAGATGGGCCAGACATGCCCTGGAGCCAATCTCCCATGGTCCTTCCCCAGAATCTGTGGAGTGAGCGGGATCCCTCGGGCAGGTGTAGTCCCTCAGCCTCACCTGAGGGGATCAGGCCAAAACTGGTAATCTGACATCCCTTGAGGGGTCCCGGGGTGCAAGAGGGCACACTGCAAAGTTGTGTCGCTGAACAGCTCCTCTGTTGAGTGTCTGCCCCTGGTGGTCAGTGTGAGTCATACCTACTGGCCAGTTGGCAGGTCACTTAGCCTTTTATATATATAAATTTCTACCAAAACATCTTCCCACAGATTGAATGCTGAAGCAATCATGAAAATCCAGCTATTTTTTATTAAGCCATATATTAAAGAGGTTTCTAAAAATTGCAAAATGATGCCATACTTCTCAGTCTTAAAAATATGGGATTACTGCTTAAAATTGTTACTTATTTTTAAAATCCTGATGCAAGGATATGTTTATTATTGATTTAAGAGAGAGAGAGAGAGAGAGAGAGAGAGAGAGAGAGAGAAATTCATTTTTCCACTTATTTATGCAATCATTGGTTGCCTGTTATATGTACCCTGACCTGAGATTGAACCCTCAACCTTGGCATATCGGGAGGATGCACTAACTAACTGAGCTACCCAGCCAGGGCCTCCATGGCTCAGTTTTAATTTTGATTATGGCAAATAGTGATAGATATAACCCACAGAAGCTCCTTGGGAATCCTAAAAAGAATTTTTAAAGCAGGTAAAGGGATAATGAGACCAAAAGGTTTAAGAATGAATGTTGCAAAGAACCTCGTTGCCCCAGGTCAATTGTTTCTAAATGGTACTAATTCTGTTCTCTCCCAATGGCACTACCTTCATGAAGCAGGAGGACAGTCTGGAAAATGAAAGCTAGAATGGGTCCGGTTATGAAGAGGAGAGGGAAAAGGAAGAGGCTGATCAAGGTGAGATGCAAAGTGTCAGCCTGTAGCCCTCCCTTGACCAGAGGATTGGAGGTCAGACTTTCAGGTGGTCTGGGTGGCCACATTTCCTACCTGTGACTCCCGTCCCAGTTGCTGTAGCTTGGCCCACAGACTGTCCTGGTTGGCTGTGAGTTCGTGAATCTTTGTCTCAAATCTGCTACATTTTTCTTCTTGGGAGGTGTATAAGGCTTGCAACTTGTCTTTGTATCGGTCTAACTTTTTTTTAAGGAACCTGGAAAAGAGCAGGAATGAATGGGTTGAAAGGGCAAGGGGCCAGCAGACCAAGTAGAGGCGTGTGTACCAAGATGTACTCCAGGTCCCCTCCGTAAGACGAGATGCCGGAGAAGTCTGTGCCTTGACTATTATCTATCACTAGAAGCCTGAGGCACAAAATTCGTGCAAGGGGCTCGGCCCTCGCAGCCAGCTCCCTGCAGCCCCAGCCGGCTCTCACAGCTCCGGCTTCATCCAGAAGGTCCTCCGGACAGTTCGGCTGATGGGTCTAGTTATTATACAGGACTGTGCACCATGTGCAGCTGTCCTTCGGGTCTATTGTATACCTAATTCCACTAAGAATTTCACTGGCTTTGAGAGGTTTTAGAAAACTCATCATGCAAACCTTCACCGGGTACTCAAATCTGAATACTGACTTTATTCATTTTCATTTTGTCTAGAAATACTCCAAGTAAAGGATAGTAGACATGCCATGGCTAACTTCCTGACACCTGTACTTTGCTCGGTGCTGTGAAGGCTTCATCCTTGTTTCCCCTGAACCCTCTTTCCCTCGGGTTCTTGCTTGGCTCACTCTCTCCTCCTTCAGTCTTTGCTCACCACCATGTTCTTAGAGAGGTCGTCCCTGACTGCCCTACTTGAAATTGCAAATCAGAGTCCCCACAATCGGTTCTAGCACCTCCCCCCACCTCCCCTTCTTTAAGTATCTCCATGGCCTGTTCATCCGAATTGCCCCAGTGTGAAGAGATCTTAGATTCTGACTTAGTCTCTAGCCTTACATGACATAAAACCTGTGTGTGTGTGTGTGTGTGTGTGTGTGTATGTGTGTGTGTTTTAATATATGATTTACTCTATTACTTAATAACTACTTACTGTTTCTTTATTCTGGCAACTTTTTTTTTCTTTCTGTTTTGCTTGTTGCCATGTCCTCAGACTGAGGCCTGCAATAGTCCCTGTTACAGAACTGTAGCACAGTTCAAAGTGGCTTACTAAAGCACAATCTCATTCTTTGATCAGTGCTGCTGGCATGTTTATTGAATTTGGAGAAATGTACAATCTCGTTCTTTGATCAGTGCGTTGACATGTTTATTGAATTTGGAGAAATGGGCTCTCTGGTGGGGAAATGCAACATTTTGCACTGTTAGTCTTTGAAATTCCTATTTGCTCCCAACCTTGGAGAGCTCCTGGAATTTAGTTTGGGCTTCCATCAGAAGCAGGCATTTCTAGAGGCTGGCCTTCACACTACCATACAGTCTCACTCAGGAGAAACAGGAGCCTGACTCTAAATTCCAGAGTCGTAACTGAAGTTTCAAGTATATCCTTGTTAGCAGCCCAGTGCATGAAATTTGTGCACTGGATGTGGGGTATCCCTCAGTCCAGCCTGCACCCTCTCCAATCTGGGACATCTCTCACAATCCAGGACTGCTGGCTCCCAACTGCTCGCCTGCCTGCCTTCCTGATTTCCCCTAACCAGTTCTGCCTGCCAGCCTGATCACCCCCTAACCACTCCCATGCCAGCCTGATTGGTGTCTAACTGCTCCCCTGCCAGCCTGTTTGCCCCAAACTTCCCTCCTCTGCCAGCCTGGCCACCCCTAACTGCCCTCCCCTGAAGGGTTGATTGCCTCCAACTGCCCTCCCTTGCAAACCTGGTCTCTCTCAAATGCCCTCCCCTGCTGGCTTGGTGCCTCCCAACTGCCTTCCCCTGCTGGCCATCTTGTGGAGGCCATCTTGTATCCATATAGGGGCAGGATCTTTGACCACATGGGGGCAGCTATTGTGTGTTGGAGTGATGGTCAATCTGCATATTACTCTTTTATTAGATAGGATAGAGGCCTGGTGCATGGATGGGGGCCAGCTGGTTTGCACTGAAGGGTGTCCAGGATCAGAGTGGAGGTTCCCTTGGGGCATGGGGCAGCCTGGGTGAGGGGCCTGTGGTGGTTTGCAGGCTGGCCATGTCCCTCGGTGACCCAAGCAGAGGCCCTGGTTTCTGGAATTTATTTACCTTCTACAATTGAAATTTTGTAGCCTGGAGTGAAGACAAGCCTCCTGCTCCCTCTATGGCTGCTGCCATTTCTGTTTGAATTTGTTTACCTTCTATCATTGAAACTTTGTAGCCTTGAGTGGAGGCCTAGGCCAGCCAGAGCAGGTGGAAAGCTTTGCTTCCTCCATTGCCGGGGCAATCCTATCCTGCTCTTTCCAGCTCTATGGCTGCCACCATTTTGGGGGGATTTATCTTCTATAATTAAAACTTTGTATCCTGGAGTGGAGTCCTAGGCCAGCCAGGGTGTGTGGAAAGCTTGGCTTCCTCTATTGCCAGGGAAACCCAAACCTCTCAACTGTTCTCTGTGGCTGCAGCCATCTTGGTTGGGGTTAATTTGCATACCCACTCTGATTGGCTGGTGGGTGTGACTGGTGGGCATGGCTTGAGTGGAGTGGTGGCTAATTTGCATATTACTCTTTTATTAGTTAGTATGGTGGGTTTTCAGAAAGAAGTTGGCCCAGGGATTTGATGTTGCAATTAACCGATCTCAGAAGGCCTTCCTAACAGTATCACCAGGGCCGAATGTGCTTGTTATGACCACTAGTGATGCCAGTTTCTCTTTCTCCCATGTTGCCCCCCAACTCCTGTCCTCTTTCTCCTCTCTCTCTCAGCCATCTTCCATGTACCTCCTTCCTTCCACAATCCAGGTGAAAGTAGCTACAACTCTATTCAAAGTATAGTTATTTTCTTACTCCATATTTTTTAAAGGAGAAATTCTCCTGCAGAGTTTTTGATGAATATAATTTACCCGATACCAACATTTACAGCAATTGGGAGCTCAGTACTTTCCAGGCAAATATCCATTGTTCACAAGCAAGTCAGATTGTTTGAGAAATAATTCCTTTCAAATGATCTAAAATCTTCTTTTCGACAATTTAAAAAATCTTTTATCTTTAACTTGAATCTCCCTTGTAAATGGGCTTTCAAATAGGATGGGAACACTTCCAGCTCCAGTGACTCACACACACAGCAATTTCGTTCCTCGATCAGCACCTAGTGGAGGACAGAGTAATAAACAGGGAACTAGTGATCGAATGATGCTCTTCCTTTTAGTGTAATCTCAGTTGCCTTTTAAGTAGCCAGTTACACAGTGTTAGCTGATATTGAACTTAGCTAACTATATATTTCAGGTCTTTTCCAGACTATTTATTCTGAACATGGGCCTGTAATTGTAGAACTTGCCTGTAATTGTAGAATTTAATTCTTTACAATTTGGTCTTTATTAATTGCCCGAGTGTTCTAGGCTATCACATGTTAGTGAGCCCAGATTGTCATTCAGCTTATTGTCTAGGCCATCTGGTATCAAATCACACACATTTGAGAAGCATACCCTCTACTATTTTACCCAATTCATTGATACAAATAATAATTCAGAGAGAAACACAGACAAAATCTTCACATAGATCCATTTGTTAATCAGCCTCACACTTTGGTGTACTCTCTGTTGATAAATACCTTACCAGGAGACCAATGATATATATATTCAGTGGGTAGGAATCATATAAAAGGAAATAACTTATTTTAAAATAATTAGCTTAAAATACTTATTCTAAGAATTAAGCTGTAAAGAATCAGAATTGCCTTTCTATTGCCACACTACTTTCCTTAATTTTATTTCTAATTTATTTTCCTTACACCATAAACAAGACTAAAATTGTTCTTAAAATTTGAATTAATTTCTTTGAAAGTGTTGTTAAGCATATTTTCATGAATTATCACAGATTTTTTAAATGTCCCTTATCTGTCATACATTTATAGTATGGAACACATCTCTCTCTCTCTCTTTCCATATATATTGAGCATCTGCTAAAGAACAAGCATTGTGCCTGAAAATCAAGGTCTTCCCTTAGGGGAAACTTCTCATTGAGGATCATAAATTCCTTCTTCTAAAGAAATGACAACAGGAGACAGGAACTCAAGGAATAATTAATCCCTTGAGACACAATAAGGTGGTCGGCAGTTTCCAACAAACCTAATAAACCTGGTAGAAAGTTGGATGCCGTTGGGGGACGTGTACTGATTTCTTTAGAAGAAGGAAAAGCACACACACCAGGCACACACACACAGAATCAAACTTTGCTGAAAATGCTTAACCAATTTTCCAGGACTGAGATAAAAACTCAAAACATGATTCAATTAGCTGGTTGATCTCTGCTATGTTTAACTATTCACATAGAGATAAAGCCTCCTTTCATCTTCATACTGGAATCATAGGATTTCCCTAAGAAATATCTTTCAGGTTTAAAAAATCATGGTAAAATCATGGCAGAAATTTTTTTTATAAAAGGAAAAAGAAATGCTATTGATTTGTTTCTGCTGTCAGTATTTGTGCATGCCCCTGGTTCCTACCTTCTTTCCCTATGGAGCGCATTAATATATTCATGAGTCCTCCACAGTTCATTTCTAATGCTGACTGGGGCCTGAAGAAGCAAGAAACAGAGAAAATAAGTTTTCAGTTTAAATTTAATCCTCATTCCTAAAAATTCACCATAATAAAATGTTATTTTTAAAAATTTCATTACTTACTATTTTTAAATGTGACTAACATTTGGGTTTATGTCACCTAAGTGTTCTTATGCTCAAAGTATTTTTATATATAAAAACCCTAATATTCAAATAGACCTAACGGCAGAACAACTGAACAACCCGGTCGCTATGACATGTGCTGACCACCAGGGAGTGCATGTGAAACATGGCAGACATTGGCTGTAGCAGGATGGTGGAGCAGGTAAGCAGGGGCACCATACCATGGCAGGGCACCAGTCACTGCCATTGGGGCAAGTCTCTGGTAGTTATTGAAAATTCTTTGCTCCTGAACACCACGATCCCGCTGGGCACCCTCACCTACTGCCAGTGCCAGCTCCACTGCTGACATCAGAGCCACTGCTCATACCCACTGCTGGAGCCTGGCACCTGGCGCCAACCCCAATCACTTGGCGCCATGAGTAGGTTCAAGAGGTAGC